GTGCTTTATTTTGATATAAGTTGGTCCACAACGTGATCACTAATTAAAAAAACGTTTTGTAACCAAAATGAGTCACTATTGGAATGAATTACAATAAATGTAAGAAATATTAAAAAAAAAAACAAGAAAAGTGTTATATTTAACTTACAATTTTATTTAAATAGATGTACAAACTTGGTGTTAAACAATATTATTTCATATGCATTCCCAATTCCAATATTCAAATGTCACCTAGGTTATATCAACCGCCAAACGAAGCCAAGTCATACCGCTACACAGTCGTATCGTACATCCTATCGACACTAAAATAGACATCCCTCAAGTCCTATCAGTTTCATATCGTTTAATTCCTTTCAGCTGTCCTCTTCGCGTCTGTATATTAGTCAACTCTAGGATCTTCTTATTATCCGAAAGAGAGACTTAAGTCCTTTAACTTTATCAGTGAAAACTACAGAAGCCGTTATAGATACCTAGTTTCTTAGTATCAATTCAGGTGTATCGTTTAGGTCCCACAAACTATCTTCTTCACGTCTGTATACGGTTCAACTATATAACCGCTCTTTTACCTGCATAGATAGACTGAAGTCCTGTAACGGCAAATAATCAATTAAACCCACAAAAGCCGCCACAGACTTATCATTTCTTTTTACCTATTAAAATAAAACTAAGTCCAATGCCACAACAATCTATCAATAAAACTTACCGATACCGTTTCAAGATATTAATACACTTCATTAAATTTTTAACCAATTCAACGGGAACTTGATACTGTGGTCGAATAGATCTATTATTTTCATCAATTTGAGTTCCTCTTGAGGGTGTCATCCATTTGGAAATGCTCAAGTGTTCAGTGCTGAAAGTATTTCTCCAGCTGCGGTTAAAAATTTCAAGTTTCTTTGCAGAAGAATTTATTAATTCACTTTGACAAGCTTTGTTGAATTTTTTACGACCGGTCTCTATTTCGATTAAATTATTTTTGTAATTTGCTTTCAATACTGGGTCTTTACATATTTCTACCAAATTTGTTAAACGATTTTTCATTTTAATTTTGAATTTAGCTTCTGAAATAATATAAAAATCTGCCACATAAAAATTGTTACAACAAATATACTTTCTATTTTTATATAAAAAATATTAAACATTTATCTAACTTGTTTTTTTTTCTTCAAATATTGGTTTACTTAGTTAATATTTGATCAATTGAAGATTTTTTTTAATTAATGTTCATGCATATGGGCACTTTTACTCTTTGATAGTGGGGAATTTCTGCAGAGTCACACCCTTCTCACTGACTAATTTATGTATTCCTCAAAAGCTTCGTGATTATTCGATGACTGATCTAAGATCTGCATTCCGTCCCGTGCGGCTAGAGATTATTCTGGAATTTTTGACCGGATCTATTCTAACGTCTCTTAGCATATCATTTGTGCGGATGTACCAAGGCACTTTGAAGAGTGTTCTGGTTAGTAAAATTGGCAGCACACTCATGCAGTAGTGCACTTAGTAGCACACGAAAACGTCCTTTTTTAGAAATGAGGTCAGAAAGCAAGCTACTTAGATCAAATTGAGTTATTTGAAAAAATACTTATTATCATCAATGAAGGTTTGCAGCAGTTATTGCATAAAAATCAATGCTTCACGGACATCATAAACTTGGCTGGCCACTACACCTTTGCTTCAATATATCGAATTAGGAAAGCCATTTTTCATATTATATTACTTTACTTTACTATGTCTGTTTCTGTTTCTGTTTCTGTTTGCATCTGCGATATAGCACAAGCCTAAGAAAAAGTTGTTTAAATCTTATTTTTTTCATTGTCTTATTAAACAATGGACATTTAAATATTTTGCAAAATTACATAAAACATAAAAAATTAAATATTTAATTTAATGGACCTAACTAATAAATTATTTATGGTATACATATATAATATTGTTTTTGGAGTAATTGTGATAAACTAAGTAAACTCTCTTGACACACAAAAAACAATTGCTGACTAAACTGATTTTGACGTATTTAAATCTGAAAGCTACCAGCATTTTGACCAAAAAATTTATTTATTCACTTGGTTATGTAAATTATATACACTGTGTAAATAGATACGTTTTATACAAAAATAATAAAAATAAATAAAAACAAATTATATAACATATAAAATACCCCAAAAAGTATGCAATCAAAATTGTGGCATAATAAAGTAAAAATTTTTTGTCAACACCAAAAAACATATTTTTTTGTTATTACAAATTCTTCATCAAGCAATATATAGAATGTTTATAGACATATATGTGATTATTATTTAAATATATTTATTTTCAAAATAAACAGAAACATTTTGCTTTTGCAAAGAATTTTATTTTTATTGTGACATTCGAGTATCTCACATTCAGTTAGTTATACATAAACGATTTATTGTTTGTACTCTGCAGTCCATACGGGACCATCATTAAATTGGGAAAGCAGATACACTTTGTCCACATTTTCAACTTTTATAACTTTTCAACTCAGTTATTGTGATTTTTGAGCAATTCTATGTTTCATATACTCTAACATTTACCTAAATGTTCTTTCTTTTTTATTTTTTTGTGTAACAAAAACAAAGTGAAAATATTTTAAAATAATTGAAAATATTTTTTGCACTCACAATTAAAACAAGTAAATATTTTTAAAGCATCAAATATCATATATTTATAAAATAAATAAGTGGCTAGCACAAAGATATCAAATACACAATTATTTAAAATTCATAATTCCCAATTTATTTTCTGACATTCTGATATTATAAAGTTTATGAGAGAATTTTATTTTAAATTTTACTAAAAAATATTTTTTAACTGACATTAATTATGTCAACATTTTCATAGCCATGAATGCCCAAATTAGCTGTAGTTTATTTAACTATTTTTCTAAAACATGTAAAATAAATAATAAGTAGATATGATACACAATTTGCCTATATTACTATATTAGACTCTAGTTTAAAGAATTAAAAAGATTTCAAAACTTCTCTCTACTGTACGGTTAGTGTACTTACAAGCGATGACGCAGCTATAAACTATATTAGGTATTATTTCATTGCAAACACATAGTATCAGTTGATTCCATTGCAATCAGTACATTCAAACATAAAGGATTATCCTTTCATTGTTCTGATTTAGCAACAGCGTTCCAGTGACATATGTCAAACAAAACTGTCATATTTAGTTTAAAGTCTGCGATATTATAATATACGTAGCTGTACAATCGCTACAGAAATGGTGATTCTATACTAATTACATCTTGTACATTATGAGAAGATTATGGATGACCTAAACGTCAATCATAATACAAATGCACTCTACGAAAATATGTGAGTAAATTTTACAAAACAAGATGTGTGGTATATATGCTAAGCCCTAGACCTTATTTCAGTAATGAAGCTCAGCTCTCGCTTATTGGATAAGTCAACAAATAAAATTATCGCATCTGAAGCGGTGATAGCTATGAAAATCCAAAAGTAACTACGGAGAGACCATTGCGTTTATAAAATGTAATAAAATGGTTTGGCGTTTGCGCTGGAGGTATCACAGATCTCTAATTTTTCGAAAACTACGAATATATAACACAATTTTGATATTTGATCGCCAAAATCATATGTTTACTAATTATTTTTAATGTAAAATTGTAGTAATAGAAGTCAAAGATATGTTGTTCAAACAGTCACAAGTGACAGCGTTTTTAATCTGGTCAGCAAATAATTTCCCGGATGTATAAATCTATAGTCCCTTACTCGTTTGCGACGAGTATCGAATTAGATGGAACGATGAGCTGTCGTTCCATCTCATGTCGTGCGAACAGAAGAAAGCTGTTTTATTCGATACCATCAGGTGCAAAACGAGGTACAAGACGTCTTCGGTAGAAGGACCACGTGACCAATAATTTGGTGACGCTCGTCTCACATCTGTAACAACCAACTATGTAAGTAAGTAATAATTTCACATTTCAGTAATATGATTTCACTGCTTTGATTATGATTTGATTTTGGAATTATGTTACTTATTATCATTATTACAGTTTAGAATCATAAACAGCATTCATATGTAAAAAATCGTATTTATGCGTATTATATTCTAATTCTCGACACTTTGAAAATGTTTAGGCGTTAAATAATAACCTAGTTATTACTATCTATATGCCGACAAGTCAAAAGGATCCAGTACTGTGAAATCTTTCTTAAATTTTATTTGAATAATGTTAGTAATATGCTTCACTCGTAATGACAAGGTCCAAGCAATATTTTAAATTAATAATTTGGTTATAAACTGAATTATAACTGTTTCTTCTTTAATGTTATGTCCAGAACTATATAAAATATACCTCGCCTCCCCAACTCTTCTTTTAAAAACCCCTTTTCAGCGGCAATTTATCACTAGTGTGATTACACCTAACAGATTCGTGAATATTTAAGCATATTTCATGGACGTTCCAAAGTCGGTTCATCTCCATTTTTTTATTGTCATCTAAAAAATGTTACTTTTTATTTATTTACCAATTTAGTTAAAAGAACATAAGGCATATAAATTTTCATAATTTAGTTATTTAAAATTCTAACATAAGAAATAAGTATTAGAAAGCCTTATACTTATGTTATATAAATATTTCCTACTTAGAATAACATTTTTAAAAAACAAAAAATGAAAAATTTGTTTATTTTTTTTAGTAAAAACCTTATTGTATCTAATTTTATTCGAAATATTGAGCAGAGCATAAAAATAAAAGCCTTGAATAATATTAAAACTTTTTAACTCAATACTGATGTTACACGCTTATTTCAATATAAATCGCTTAACTTTTAAGTATTTGAATTAAAATTCAAATTATTACAAATTGCACCAATTTCGATTGCAATTTTATGAAAATCTCAATAACAAACGCTCAAATGGGTTTCAATGGAATAATTTCCCGGCATAATAACTACAAAAGCAAATATCGACAGCACAAATAACAATCATAGGAATAAACTACACTGTAAACCCAGCAATGAAAATTCCAATTCAAAGAAAAAAAGCTACAAAATATTCATAAAATAAGCCACAAAATGAAATTATAACCAAATGACGCTTGCTCTGGCCACAATGAATAATTTTTTTTTTTCGTAATATTTTCATAAAACGCTAAATACGCACGCATCGAAACCGAAGTTTTATTAAAATGATTACTGCTTCTGCTCTATAATCTGTAATAGAGAAATAAAATCGAAATATGTTTAATGAACAAAATGGCGGACTATTACAGTTAGCATGTAAACTAAGAACATCATTTCCGGTATATCTGTTTATCAATGTGAAATGATATAAAGCATGAGAAAGGATCCAAATAAAGAAACTGAAGTTTCCATTTTTTACTGTGATAAAGCTATGTGGTTGAGTGAAGGCCACACTGGACTAACTTTCAACTATGATACTAAAGATGATCTTTCTTGTCAGATTTCATATTATAGGTACACAGATTATATATAATATTGTATTATAAATAACTAATAGATGGGTACCATAATCTAACCGGTACCGGTTCCGATCGAAGCGGAGCACCGCGGCCAAAGTTGATTTTTTGTGCTACTACGGTTCCTAACCGAATAGAAGACATTCTGCCCTTCGAATGAATCCCAAAAAGTCAGCCATTGAAGACCTCCTAATGTCAGGAGGGACACAATCACAGAGAATGTGACTGGAAGTCCTG